TCTGGACCTGTCAGTTTGTGACTATGTCATCTTCAAGCGTCTTTGCCCAAGTGATTTGAACCACAAGGGAGTGAACGCATCAGGAGTTTGATTTAGTTGCCCTGCATGTCTTTAGTGTACACTGAATAAAGCAGGACTTGTCTCGCTCTTTGGTTTGTCAGATGGGGTTCATTCAAGTTCATTTTATTTCCAGTTCAAATTAGCAGAGCTAAACTCTGTTTTCTCTTCAGAGCAGCTCCCCTGGGCTCTCTGTTGCCTGGATTCCTTGTTCACCCAGAAACAGCACGAGGGGAGGCAGTAAAGCTATGCTAACATCATAATCATTGTTATCATAATTATTATTAACCCACTGCAGACAGCAAAAAGCCAGCCTGAGTGGGGTGCTTCTCACATTTCTCACATGTACCAGTCTGTACAAATAGATCTTTAACAGATGGTCATTTGTGAGTGACAGCCTGAGTAGATGAGAGTGGATGAGCGTGTTAAGTGTTTTGGACGGGCCATTACAGGAAAAACTTTTAAGGGGAATCTGGGGCTGTTTTGTTCTCTCTCTCTGGTCTTTCCACCCTGCCCAGGAGGAAGGTGTAGATTGCTGTGTGGAGTGACGGGTCCCACTACGTGAGGCTACAGATGGATTCAGCATAAAATAAAATAAAATAATGACATTGTGTTTTCTCTCTTTTCTTGATCCTAAACGATTGCTCTCCTTTTATTGTTCTGTTTTTTTACAGTTTTGTTTCTGTCACTTCAATAGTACTTTTGTTAGGGGACAGGGTTGGGTGACAAGTGGTGCAGACGAGGAAGAAACCCAGTCGCTACATCCTGACCAGAGGGAGGAGAGACTGAATGTCACCTTCAAATCCAGCAGGCAGATTGATTCAGGGCTTTGAGGGAGCAGTGGGAAATACCTCAGCCTGACAGGAGACCCTAAACTAAACAACCAGTGTTCCCCTGGAAGAGTGTTAAACTGCGGTACACTATGAATTATGGGCCACAGGCAATTTCTTTTAACACTATACTTTGCTTTATATGGCAGAAAATGTGTATATCTTTGACTATACTTTTCAATATTCAAAGCACTTAACATTAAATATGAGATCCAACGAAGGTTAAAATCAAGGTTGAAGATCTTCAACCAAGTCCAGTTGCCCTTGATTTTAACTTTCGTTGGATAACTATGACCTGGATGACTGAGAATCTTCATAGACATTAAATATGAGATGATTCCTTTGAAGTTTTGGAATAAATATAAAATTACTGCAAATGACTGACATGAAAAAATACCAACACAGGTTTTTATTGTAGCACATAATTGATCACCTTCGCCAATGGAGGATATTTAAATAAACACAAACTTTAGCTACAGGAGGGTCATTGGTTTAGCCAATATCTGGTCATAAACCAAGCAATCTGACAAAGAGTAATGTTGACCCAGTGAAAAGTTAAGAGATCACCAAGTTATTAGAATTGATCCTGTAGGGAACATGAATGTCTGTCCAAAATTGTATGGCGCCTCATAGTGGCGCAAGAGGAAGAGTCAGAGAATGACCAAAAAGTCAGTAGGATTCCTCGTCTGGGGATCGTGAATGTCTTTCCAAAGAAGAAACAAGAGAGCTTGTTTGTATGTTTGTTCTACATGTATCCCACAGCTTACTCACATGCATATATGTGATGTGAGATTATCTACAGAGTGTTTCAGAATGGGATGTTCTGGCTGGTTTATGAGCAGTTATTTGTTTTATGAAAGAGTACTGGATGGCGGTCAAACTCCCCTCTGCACACAGCAACAACTGCTTTTCACTTTCACTCATTTCCAGTTGCGTAACTGAAAGCAGACTCTGTTTAATATTGAATATTTACTCTCATGTTGTGATTGAACACTGGAAACAGTGTGATGATACATATAGTTATAGTATTTCTGGACACACAGCAGACCTGATTCAGTTTGATCATTCGAGCCATCTCCATAAATAATCATATTGATACATCGCTCTCCAACGTGACTTGCTTTGATTGCTACTTGGTTTATTTCTGCTTGGTCCTGTCCTCTGCCAAAAAGATCTTATCCCATCTTCCTAGCGGTCTGTCTTTATATGAAAAACTAAGTGCAATAAAATGTGAATGTTCACTTTTTTATTCTCCAAAAAGAGGCCACAAGGGGAACCACGTTCAGAGCTCTCCCTCAGGATATTACAGTGTCAGTGAGTTTGCACGAGATCATTACTCTGTTGCGTCCTGTTACCCAATACACTTGCTATATCCATCTTTCATTTCACCTCAAACAAGTCTCACATGTAAATATGTTTTACAGATAAAAGCAGCATACTTGTGCATGGATCATCTGAGTTGGAAAACTTTGTTCATTTCCAGTTATCTTGTGTTGCTCATTTCCAAGTGTCCAGATTTTCGCAATTGTGGGACAGCATTGAACATCAAGTGACATCATATTATTATCCATGGCAAAAATAGATACCATAGGGAATTCTTCCTGCCATGAACAGTAGTTGGAAGTCATTTAAGTTAATCACCATACAAGTCAATTTGATGTCTGACCACTGTCTACAGAGAGATACTGCGCATTCAACAAAACCACACCATAGTTAAAGGCTGAAGTACAACAGTCTTTGTTTTTCTTGTTTTTCAACATCATACACTGACAGCTCTGCTTGGGAAATCATCTATAGGATGAAGTTAATTTACTACTGAAAATCAATCAATCGTGCAGCAATCGCAAGGTGTTTACTGCTGTATATGCAGTGCATGAATAACTGGGATGGATATGAGTTGATGCATATTGCTATATATCCAAGCCACTGGTATGCTGAGTGACGGGGCCACACACTGGGTTTTAAAGCTGCTGGGTCATTAAGTGTCCACACAACAGTGGCAGTGTGGAATGCTTATCATGCTTGGAAGATAAGGGCTAAGACTCAACAATGTATGAAAGGCATATGAAACATTAAGACTTTCATACTGTACACTTGCCTCCAAGTGCACTATGAACATGGGAAAAAGCAAATAAAAAAATATGTTGAATTTGAAAGTCATGTTAGTTTGTTCCTCTTTGGGAGTAATTGATCACAGAAGGTAAACAAACAGTCATCATGTCAGATATGTGACCGGGCAACTTCCTTTCTTGCTTTCCTTGGAGAGTTTTCATTTTGCTTGTTTGAGTCAGTGGTACTCTATCACTGCCACATGATAGTGGTGAAAAGAAGCAGGATGTATTGAAAGTGAGTTTGGTGCCCTGCTGTGACTACGTCCTTTCAGACTATGATTAAGTGGACGATCTGTGCTGTAGTATGGATTGAATCTTTTATACCACAGTGAGAGATAAGGCCGGGAAGGCATTTATGAAGCGTCAGAAAATAGTGGCGATATGAATAAAACAATAATTGTGTAGAGGGAGGAAACGTGATGGAGAGGCAGGTTTGGCTGACAGTGAAAGTGAGAGAGAGAGAGTCCTTGGAGTCCACTGAAACAGAACAAACATTGGATGCCAAGTTAAATTAGACCAATTTCTACTTTTAATTAGTATCTAAAGGAGAGCAATAAAATTCTATAAACACTTTAAAGGCACTGAAACCAGCTCTTACAAGCTCTACAACAAAAAACTCAAGGTAACTTGCTAAACAGTGCTATTTAGCATTGAACAGAAAATACCAAGTGGCAGTGAGTTTTGTGTAATTAGTTGGTCGCATGTCAAAAAATGTGTGTGAGTGTGGGTGGACACTGAAATACTTTTGTAATTTCAGTACCCCCTGCATTAGTTGTGATTACAAACAGGGAGTGCTGAGGTTACAGGACAATACGTATAGGTGAGAGTTTTTAAGTCTGGACATTTGCCATTAATTCTTCTGGACCCATAAATCAGAGGTAGCTACTGGTAAGTAGGCCCCTTTCCTTTGAATAATGTGAGACAAACACAACACAGTGTGCAGGAGCTGGACAATGCATTGAAATACCACGAAGGGAAAATAATGTCTAGTTGGAATTGGTGCTAATGTTAGCAAGCTAGGCTAACTAGCATCAAATTTCTTAGTGGACAGTGTGTAGCTTAAAACAGTTGTCCTTTGAAAAGTAGACACAACAGCTGCAGTATTACTATAATTATATTTCCTTCCACAAACGTGAGGGGAATTCAAATCTCTGTTTGAATTTAACTACATACTTTAATTAAATACTGACTGACTGACCACAAACTTGGCCATTGAGACTGGTGGACAGAGACAAACCTGGGAAACCAGAAAAAAACAGACACAGTATGGTTAGCCAACAACAAGAGGTAGAGACAGTGCAGCACATGGTGCAGCCTCAAAACAGAAGAACCAAGTTCTTCACCAAAATAAAACTCCAATACCAAGAATTCAACACACTTTCAAACTAAAAAAAAACAAATTCAGTATTTACTTCGGGAAAAGCTACAGTAACATTGCTTTGGAAACAGCTAAATGCGTCAGAGCAGAGCCAGCCAGAAACCAGTAGAACAACACCTTCAAAATCTATCTGCTTTTGTTGTTCTCTTTCCTATCATTATGTTACATTGTTAAGCATGTTAAACTACTTGCTATCTCATTTTAATAAAATATTGTGATCTCAAGGTTCACTTACTACTTTTTTCCTCAGAACTTTTGGCCTACCTGGCAGCCTTTTTATGAGTGACACGGTCGAAAGCTTTGTGAGATAGAGCTGAAAAGGCAAAATCTAGTAACTGAACCTTGAATTTAAAATATCTTATCAGAAACCATTTGTTGTTTTTTTACTAGCATTCTGAATTATCAGGCTTTATTATTTTACCTTCTTAAATGTACAGCCTTTGTTCTGTACTTAATTATGGTCACGGCAATAAAGAATATATATAAATAGAGAGGGGAGAGAGAGAGAGAGAGAGAGAGAGAGAGAGAGAGAGAGAGAGATGGGAGGGAGAAAAAGTTGTTAGAGAAAGTTCCTAGTTGCAGAACAGGGAAGGGTGGTTGAGTGATTATGTGCTAAGGAGGTGCATGTGTGTATGTGTGTGGAGAGGTACGCCGCTCTCTCTACTCTATAAGCTTTACCAGGTCAGTCAACATCCTGAAGCGGGCCACTCTCCACTCCACCCCTCCTCTCACCTCTTTTGTGGACCAACGCATGGACTCCGGAAGCTTGAAAAGAAGGCAGTGAGGAAAGTGACTTTTCAGAAGAGAGATAAATGGTGGGAGGGAAGTCTGTTGTTGGTTTCCTGGACGGAGCTGCATGCGCTGGCTGCGTGTTGGAGTTACAACAAGAGGCAATCCCCTTTTCCTGTGTGTGTTTTCTGTCTACCCTCACGAGGAACAGCGGGAGCAGGGACTGGGCTAAAGAAAACCTCTGGATGCAACAGCAAAGAGGGGGACCAGCCAAAAGAGGAGAAGAGAAACTCATAAAGCAGAGACAGGAGCAGCAGGAGTTGGACTAAGAAGACAGGAGGAAGACAGAGTCTTGAGGGATACTTTAACAAGAGACGAAAAAAGATACAAGAGATATATAGAGAACCAAAGGGGAAATTCACCTGACCCACTTCTCTGCTCTGCCAGGTGGAGCAACCTCTTTCTTCCCCCTCTCCTCCCTCCCTCCCCTTCTCCTCTCTTTCCCCTGACATGGGCCGCCTGCTGGCCCTGACCCTTGCCTACCTGGCCTACCTGCTGGCCACGGCGATTGGCTCAGAGCGCCAACAGCACCAAGTGCAGCACGGCCCGTGCAGCTACACCTTCATCCTCCCTGAGGTGGAGCACTGCCATCCCTTAAAGGACTTCCAGGTCACCAACACCCTCCAGAGGGACTCTCCACCTGAGGCAGACCCTGATACAAGTCAATCCAAGCCGGATAAGGCCCAAAAGGAGAGGCCCACCTTGCAGGAGAGGAAGCTGGAGAATCTGGAGAGTGCCATGGAGAATAACACCCTGTGGCTGCAGAAGGTAAGGTCTCTGAACTAAAACACCCAGTTCTGTCCTCTGTCATCTAACCATCCTTACTTAGCTGTCACATCGCCTTTTTCTTGGCCTTTCCACATGTCACATTTTAGCCTTCAAACATAATGCAAAAATATAAGCATGGGATGTCCACAGAGCACACTATCTGATCTCATGTGCTGACAAGCCTTGATTATTGATAAGTTCAACGCTTAGCTGGGATTTCCTGGATGCCTGCTGTATGTATATCTGGCTCCATGACAACGCCTGGTGTATGAGTGTGTTTTGTATTTAAGACCTCTGGGATGCCAGAACTCCCTGTTGCATGCGAGAGGAGAAAGACTAGACGAAAAACTATTGCTAATATCAAACGGTGCCAAATATGTCTTGCACAGTTAAACCTGCACAATTAGTATGTTCACCCCTCCACAGGCAACAAGTACACAGAAGCGTCACTCTTGACTCATGTTTTAGGCCGTTTAAAAACTCTCTGTAAGAAACTCAGCTGACGTAAAAATGTTTCTCTGTGACAAATTGTTGTTTATCTCATAGAGACACATTACAGCATGTCTCTTTTCTGGGCCGTTGGCCTTTGCAATTCCATTTAGCCCGGATTACGAGTAAAATGAAATGATGCGATTAAAAGTGGCTTCACAATAGTGTTTTCATTGCTAAGGTCATCAGGGCACAGAATCAGTGTTGGGCCATTGTCTAAGACAGACTGACTGACACGTCACCCCTCTCCACCCGTCTCTCTATTCTTGTCTGCATCACTCACAGAATATTTATGGTATACACTAATCCTCGGACGATTATAACAGTCTATGTCGAGTGTTTAGATTGGCCGGCCGAGAGCAAACATGTTGATTATATTTCAGGATTTGAAAATGGGGTATTATGAATGCCAAAGTGCTTCCTGTGCTACTGTCACTTCCCACTCTAACTCTCACTCACCACAAAATTGCCTGCGCTTTTCCGCCCTTTCCTTTCCCCAGTCTTACTTTTCGTTTGACACTCCGTTCCTCTCTATCCATCTCATTCACTTCAATCTGGACCGTTCTGCACCTCTGGGATGATGGATGTGTCTCTTCTCACACCTTGACTTGTCGACCATCAGATCTCATACTCCTTGTCTAGCTTGCTCGCTCTCCCTCGACATGCACTCGAAAAAACACATATGAAAACACGCACTCGGTTCCCCTGTGCACACTCTGTCTGATGCTCAGTCTATGAACTGGAGACCTAGCTTCCATGAGTAGCCTCTGATGAGGCCACATGTGTGTCTGAGAGACAGAGCGAGGAAGGGATGGTGAGGGAGTGCACACACTTTCCCTCATGCGTGCGATAAATTATTCATGCATACAGTCTGCAAAGTACACACTAAGTTGTATTATACAAAAGCGTGACATATATCTTGGGCATATTCTGTTCAGCATGTACTTTCTCTCTTTCACTCTTTCTCTACCCGAGCTGTGCAATTTAAATCCCCCCCACACAAAGAAAAAGCTCTGCTGACACATGCTCTGTTGCCTAACGTCCTCCACATAACGTCTGGAATGAACACAAAGATCCAACCTTTCAACAAGTTACCCCCACCAGGCCATAGTGATGCATAAATGATCGCACTGTAGGTGGGATTTCCACATAAACATAGCATGACCCTAGAGAGCCTCTTTGAGACATGCACGAGGGTACACTGACCTTTGCCCCCAGATGGCAAAGGCCTTTCAGCACCTTGTGAAGCTCATTAAGCCTTTCTGCATAAGTTTGGGGAGAAATTGGTGATATCCATGCGGAAGAGCTTCAGGCAAGTGAGTGTCGGTGTGTCTGTGAAACTTTATACAAGCTCACTCACAGCTCCCCTGGGATGGTATGACTCTTACTGTGAGCCTTCCACCCAAACCCCTTGAAAGAAAACACACACCCACGCGCAAAAACTTGGGAGCACACACTAATGCAACATGTTCCGCAGAGGAATCTCCAAGTGGACGAGTGCAACGGGACTGTATTAATCTTCCAGATTCCTTCTCTGTTTTTCCAAGAAGAAACTAGTGTTTGCTTTCTTTTGTACTAACCCCTAACGCAACCCCCCGTCTAGTCCATTTTGCCTTCTGCTGCCCTGAGGGGTTGGCAAAAAGGATGTGAGCGTGCTTTTGTGAGTGCTTTTAGGAGCCTGTGCGGATTATGCTAATACAGAAATATTGCATAGAGATCAAGGTGGCTAGGCTATCTTTGGTGACCGAAATGTTTCATTAAGCCAATACTAAAGGATGTCATCCACCTAACTCACTCACATGGTCCAATTAGACTCCATTTTCTTTTATTTTCACATATACCCCTTTTCTCCATCTTGTACATTCTCAAACTATGACTTAGAAACATCTTACAAAAACATCTTTTCTTACTTACCACTAGTGGTATCTAGGCACAAGATAGTTTTGGTTATATTTGGTCAAGGTTCTGCGATATGTGCATCTAATATGAAAGGGGTGAATCTAATTTGGTTTGTTGCGCTCACTTGGTTTGAGCTAAATGCTAATGACCACATACTGATGTTTAGCAGGTAATAACTTTTAACATGTTGACCAGATGGTTATTGTTAGCGTGTTAACATTAGAAAATTAGGACTAAAGACAGAGTACAGCTGAGGCTGATGGGATTGTCATTAGTTTGGCCATAAACCAAAGTACTATAAATTTTAGTTTTGACCTGATGATGAGAAGGGATCACCAACGTTATCACAGTCTTGGTCAGTTAAGCAGAGGAGGACAATCCAGTGATTGTCCAGACATTTCATTCAAACCCACAAATGTCAATCTCATCAAGTCAGTGGATCACCAATGTCATTAGGACACTTCATGAATGTCTGTACAAAGTAGTGTCCCAATTAATGCTGTAGCTGCTGAGATATTTTACTTCAAAAGATGAAAACTTTGACCTGCTGGTGGCCGTAGATGAATTGTCAGGGATCCTAAAAGTCATTAGGATGCCTGCACAAAATTTCATTGCAATCCATCCGCTATTATTTTTTAGGACACTGCCATCCCTTAGTGAAACTCCAGATGAAAAAAATAATCTCTTTCCAGAAACAATTTCCTGGTTACGCTGGATAATCCACAGAACATCAAGCAATTCTTCAACAGAAAGTAGTTCCAATGAAAACTGGCCAAAGTGAGATCTGTCGACTACCCAGAGCAACGGGGAGATTGTTTCTGGAAAGAGATGTTGCTGTAGAATTTTCAATTGTTATTTTAAAATGCTTATGGCACCATAAATAAAATGTAATTCTCATTTATTGTATTTGGGTGGAGGCAGAAATCCAAATAAAACTGAAGTTATCTGCTTTCTTTGACACCACACATCATTTTGGTGAATTGACTCAACGTGAACAATGCATTTATCTCTTGTCAGTTGCACTGACACATCAATTGAATCACCTTTTTTACAGAAACATATCACAATCATAGCTATCCTGATGTGCCGCAGTCTATCATTATCATTTGCCAGAACACCCGGCAGACACTATTGGCTCTACAATTAAGATATCAAGTGATACAACTCCTATGATTTTCTCAGCACTGATCCCTCTGTCCCTTTTAGACACAATAAAACACAATTATGCTACAACCCAAATGTGATTAATCTGGCTGCATAGTGCAGCTTGACAGAGCTGCAATTAATGCAATTGGCAGGGGGAGATGGAGTGTATCAAGACCTCTGGATTGAGCTCTATCACAGAAGGCTGTAATAGGAACACTTTGGACAGGCGGCTGATAGCAGTTTCAATACATGAGGCTGATTATAAAGCTGGGATCTTTGTTCTTCTTTTCAAGTTGGCTTTAATCCGCTTGGTAATCTCTTCATAACCTTATATATGTTACGGATATGTTTTCTGCAGTCTCAGTTGTCCTAAAGTAGCAAAATATGAGAGACGGATTTACTGAGCAAGAGGGGAAAGAGAGAGAGTTTGAATGAAAAATGGAGTTAGTGAGAGAGATCAAGAGGAAGTAAGAGACAAAGAGAGAAAGATTACAAGCAGGCAAACATTTTAATTGCCGATTCATCTCTATTTGCCCACTTGAATCAGTATTTTTTATACTGCATTAAAAAAATGAAAAAGCCCTCTCCTGTGGCAATGCATTATGCATAATCCCATTCCTCTCTGAAATGGACATTTTTTTGAAAAGAAAACAAACAATCGAAGTCTCATTTGAATTCTCTTCGATTTTTGCAACTAGCCACTCATTAGCTGGATAATTTTGAATGCTTTCTCCTTGGAGACTTCATTTTCCAGTCATGTGGTTTAACGAGTAAAGTCTGATCCCTCCTCAGAAAAGTCATAAATAAATTATTGTTCGATATTCTACTTTGCTTTATTGCAAGGCACAGGCCATTGCCTGTTAAACGTCAAACTAAATTCCATTGTTCACGGCAGGAAAAGACAAATTTGTCTTCCAGATGCCGCTTTCTCAAACCAACCACATTAATAAGAAAATCTATTTATTGGAGCAAGATGGATGCCATCCTATTTATACTCCTGCTGCAAAATATGATGGGTTTAGCCAGTGTGTCTATCTCTGAGCTTGATTGATTACAGAGTGTAGGCGACTATTCCTAAAGTCCTTCACACAAATATCATGATGTCACCCTCTTGGTGTACATCAGTCCTGCTCTTTTTGAAATCCCATTGAAATGCCTATACACTGCATATTTGTATTAATGTAAGGGTTGTCATTTGCCTGAGGTAGACCTGCAGATGGATAGATGAGTCTGCAAGTACCTGGGGATACCAAATTCCATAACTCCATCACAGTACCTGAACAGATTGAAGTGAAAAAGATAGATCACTCTCACTCACAAGAGGTTCCCACTGTCACACTGCATCAAGCTGTCAGTGAACATACAAGGACATAACCTCTTAAAATATGATTATCACCACAATTAAACTAAGGAATCTGACATCCTGGATAATATTCTTAGAGTCTGCCTGTCCTCCTTACAGCTGGAGAACTTCATCCAGGAGAATGTGCGCTCTGGCATGGAGGAAATGAAGAGAACTGCAGTACACACCCAGACAGCTGCCATGCTGGAAATGGGAACCAACCTCCTCAGCCAATCAGCTGAGCAGACCCGCAAACTGACAGACGTGGAGACCCAGGTGAGCCCATCGGGAAGCGTTTCAGTGTGCGTGAGATAACATGTTTGCAGCCAATCCAAATGAACAACTATGGGCGTCACACCCATGCGAAAACAAATTATGTCACCTGCGAAACACTTGGCGAATAGCTAATTAAATGTAAATCAGATGTAACCCGCTGAGAAGCCATGCCCAAAGGTGGCGGCAACTGCTTTCAAACAGCTGGTATTTGGTTCTAAAGGCTCTGATTGACACAATGAGTTGAGCTCGGCGTCTGACAACAAGCCAATTAAAACATAAAACTCAGTAGCACAACACAGATGTGTCTTCAATCATGCCACAGAGCTGTTATTACAGACTGGGCTGTTTTGGTCCTCTTGCTTTCTTTTTCTCTTATCAAAGTCGATATGAAACCGTAACCTGTACAAATATCTGAGCTGCTTTGTTGAGGTTTTTGTTTCATCTTTCATTAACTTCAAAACATGTCACAGGTGCGTATGAGGTAATTCTTGCTCCCGTTTCAATTGAAAGATCAAAGAATGAGCATTATGAGCCTTATGATATACTGTGCGACATTGTTTATTCCCAAGGGTGCTTTTATGAATTATGAAATCCTTTTGTTTTGCCATCAATCTTTTCATCAATAACTCCCATTCATCCTCAACCCGCACATTCTGTCTGTGATAGAGTAATTCTCTTTTTTTTTTCTATGTATAGGTCTTGAACCAGACAAGCCGCCTGGAGATCCAGCTGCTCGAGTACTCACTCTTCACTAACCGGCTGGAGAAACATATTCTCCTGCAGACTCAGGAGATCTCACGCCTCAGTGATAAAAACAGGTGAGCACACACACACTTCAAAGAACATTCAGGCAAGTCAGTTTTTAGGCACTGCAACACTAACAGGTGAGTTTAGACTGTGTATAGGCAATGTCAGTGAAAAATCCATGCTGCCTGCTGGATCCATTCGGCAGATGCGCAAAAGTGGCTCTGTCAGTCAAAGAAGGTTCCCGATCCAACTAAATCTTTCAAATGACGATAACAAAATGTTTTTTAATCACTGTGAGATTAAACTGTTACTATGATGTAATATGAATGTACTAAGATATAAAACCTTGACATGATATGAGAACTGAACACCACTTTTGCACAGTTAATTTCGCAGCAGACTACCAGATACAGGCAGGCAGCACAGATTGGTTACTTTTTAAGTGTAATTCACAAGGCCATTTCTCTCATTTCTGTGATTCTTTTCACCTATCTGTCAAGAACTGTGATTTCTTTGTTTGATTATCTGTTACTGGGGCTTTAGTTACTGTAGGTGGCGCTATTTTATTTGCCCACTTAGCTGATGCTTTTGCTTTGCTCATTCCAAATGAGCCGCTGTGGGCTGTAGGAAACGCATCTCTTCCTGTGCACCAAAGAATGTTTTTCCCAGGAAAAAGCTACTTGACACTGGGTGGCAAAATATAAAGTGTAATTACTGTATGTGCGTGTAAAAAAACTGGTTCTTTTCATACCACTGGAAAATAATGTGTTGAATGACTCAGGCAGACCTGAAAAGGAAGGCATTTAACAACAATATAATGCGTATTGTGTAAGCATGTGTGTGTGTTTGCCAGTGAATAGTCAGTGCATGTAAGCGTGTGTGTGTGTGTGTGTGTGTGTGTGTGTTGGCCAGTGAATAGGCAGTACATGTTAGGAGGGGTTTCCCATTCTTCTCCATAGGAACACAAGGTCAAATTAGGGCCAGCAGGGGTTAAGGACAGGGTGCTGGGCGGCGTGAAAAGGAGCGGTGTTTTCTCTCTTTGTAACTGATTGTTTATCGTTCTAGCCATCTGTACCAAGTGTGACTGTTAGACCACACTGCCCCAGCTCCAACACCTGTTACACATCTGGACCTGCTTGGCCCCACTCTGCCCTTTGGCCCTTGTCCTTCAAGTCAGTGACGTGGTTCTGACAAGTAAATAAATGAATGCATCTTCACATGGTAAACACCATGACGAGACGCAAGAAATTAGAAAGGTCGTAGTATTTTCCGCCGGGCAGCTGTGGAATAAAGGGAAACATGGAAGGCAGTGGTTGTATGGGACTACTGCTGCTGATCCTTGAGGGCATGGAGCCAGTTTTGCTGCTGCCAACTAAAAGAGCACAGAGATATGTTTGTTTTCATAGGTATTTCATGTAAAATAATATTGGCAGGAAGTGCAGCATTTTACGGAGAGAGTGAGAGCAGTCTAATAGCAATATATTTTACAACAATTAAATTAAATAGCACAAGATCATAAGCCTAACGGTGTAATTGCCCAGGATGCAATGTGATACAAAATGCCATGTTTATTCTGTCAAGCTCATTAACTGTTTAAACAGTGCTGTGCTGGTTTACTGCTGCGCTCTACCTTAGACTGTTCCTCAAGTAAAATGCACATCCTGGAGAACAATTTGTTAGCTTGCTTTACCACGTTTATTGAGTGTTCTCTCACAAAGCAAATATGAAATGGAAGTGATATAAAAAATCATTTGAATTGATCCAGTTTTCCTTTCAGGCCACATACTGAGTCGCCTAAGGTGGGAGATTGAGATACACATTTAGTGCAGCGGCGGCGTGTGCACAGGACTGAAAAGTAGCTTGTTCAATCTGGGTGGCTGGATTGTTTCAATAAATAACTGCTGCAGAGTTGTTAGTCAAAGCCATAAAGATCAGGCTGCAGGGATTTATGATCTTCATTTGGAGGTGGGGTTGTGGCACTTGTGCAGACACACACACACACACACACACACACACACACAAGTTGTCAGACTGTTGCCTCATGGCTATGATGGAGAGGCTTAGCATGCAGGCCCATCTGTGAATGCAGTACAGGTGTTTATATGATGTTAGCCCAATGAGACTGTCACGCTGATGTCTATTAGTCATCCTCATGTAAATGTGCAAGTTTGTGCAACCTCTGCTGTGAAAGGTAAACGCTGAATGGATGGATTCCCCAACTGCACCCACTCTCTTATATTTTCTGCCACCCATACCATTTAATATAAAACTTAACACTTGATATAATAATGTGTTTCCACTGTGAAGATGTTTTTAGCAAAAGAGCCAACACAAGAATCAATATTTTTTTGTTGTCTTTGTCTGTGATAGTTTTCTGGAACAGAGGCTCTTAGCGCTGGAGGCTCGGTACGGGAGGGAGCTGCAGGGCTTGCAGGGCGAAAAGCAGCAGCTTCAAGAGCTCCTGGAAAGGCAGAGTCGACTGGTCAGTCAGCTCCAGGGTGAGCTAGGCAGCTCCACGCTCAACAGCACCTTACTACAGAGACAGCAGGCTGTGCTCACAGACACTGTTCAGCAGCTGCTAGCTATGGTCAATCACTGTAATGGTAAGGCTGAGGGATTTACTGTTTTAGAGTGAGAAAACTGTACTGATGACATCAGTTATTTTAAAGAAAAGATACATTTTACATTACATGTATAAAAGTTGTGTAGGCATAAATGATTAAGAATATTAGTCAATATGAAACTGAGGACAGATCACTAATGCACAAGTATTTAGCATACAAAGATATACTAATAGTATCAATAAATACCAGAATCTCATTCAGGCAAAAAAGGGGTTCTACAGTTTTTGTAGAGCATGAGATTTGTAATTGGTCTGAAAAAGTATTGTTTTAGATGAAGCATATCACCTAGAGCAGCTTGTAATTGAAATCTCAGACACATTTTACATGCATGCAATAATGACACCGCAGGCTTAAGCCAGAGTTTAACATTACAAGATAACTCACATATGGGTTTGGGATTTGTGTGCAAAACCCATAAGGTTGCCATCTGTAAATAAATGCCTGAATGTTTTTGCAGAGATCTCCAATATGCCCAAGGAGGAGCCGCCTGGTTTCAAGGACTGTGCAGAGATCCTGCAATCTGGAGTGACAGAGAGTGGAATATATGACATACGCCTCCCCAACTCCACCCAGACTGTCAAGGTAAGACTTTAAAGGTCATTGGCCTTTTCTTGCAAATATCACTAACTGACTGTGACATTAAACTTTTTTGTTAGTATTTATTACTGGAATCATTTCACTTTCACTTTACCTGCATAATGTATGCACACACACCATTACATAATGACATTCAAAGGGCTTATCATTAATTTTGGGACTGCAGTAAACACTGGAAGGACAATCTAGTGTGATGTAATGGTAATTTGCATAGGGGGTTTTGGGAATAGAGGTTGATGGAAGTGCCATGCTGGGTCAGAAAGAGCTAAAATAATAAGCAACAGAGGCATTATGCCCCACAGGTGAGTGAGTGTGGGCTGCTGAATGCAAAGTCAGAAAAGCTTAAGAGGTACCTCCGCTGACCTGAAGTAGCTAGCCCTCGCTAAGTCAACCATGGCATCCACCAGCAGGCTATCCTTTCTTTGAATCACAGCTAGCATTCTTGGCTGAGATCTTCACTCTCCGAGCTTACCACACAAAAAAGGAAAGATAACAGTGAAACAGTTTTTTGTTATTCATTACTTTCAGTCTAGTTTGCTGGTTGGCAACATTTCCCACCGCCTTTGTTTTCCCCTGTTCTTCCTCTTCATTTCCTGTGGGCAAAGCAGCCAGGTGTTAGACACTAGTGCCATGTGTTTCCTGCCAACTGGGGCCAATGTACGTTTCCACTGATGCAAGTTAGTACTCCCCAATCATCGCTGCTTTCAATCTATGCCAATGTGGCTGGCAATCAGGTTGGCTGCATAAAAGTGGGGCAGATACAAATTGCCCTATTTTCAAAGCAGAGAGCAGGCTTTCTTAGTTGGAAAAGAGCCAGCAAGCATAGACTTATGCATGGAATGCAGATTTGGCTTTATGAGTTATCAATCCATCTATCTGATTTTTAATCACCAAGGTTGTGAATAATGATGATATTACAAACCAAATTTCATAGTTTGGATCAGCTTATTTTGAACTTTTCCATAACTCTGTTGTGCATACTTTTAAGAGCTACATGTGCACATGGCTCATAAAATTAAACACATTATGGGTTCTCTCTAAACACAAGTGAAGTAACTATTTTGTCCCATGGAAGCCGTTTACAAATAATAACCAAAGCATAATTTTTTTTTAATCACAATAATGCTTAAGTTCACTGGAATTTTGCATTTTATTGTAATGGGTTCCTTGTTGGCTAATAATAATAATAATATGTGAATTTGGAGTATTAAATATGGACCAGGTCTAAATCAAAGTAATGGCCGCATGTGGGAAATTACTTAAATTTTTAAACACCCTGTTTTTGTATTCAGTGTGATGCCTTTAAGGCCAGAACATTGCCTTTATTGGGCCAGAGGATGATCACAGCACATTGCCAGTCTGCTCTGTTTTCTGAGGTAAAAGACCTGAGTGCTTTTTAACCTTGATTTAGCTTTCCTATTCTGGGAAAGTGCTGGGAACTCTCATTTCATTTCTAGCAGACAGTAGTTGAAATAGAGAGACCCCTTGGGATGCTGTCCCCACACCAGCATCTATACTGCATGACTCTTGAGACACGTCAGAGTGGTTGTTTGCTGGACAACATTTATTAAGCAACCAGCCAAGCAAATCAATTTTGTTTCATCAGTAATTACCCCCATTGGAGGTTGTAGAGGTTGTTGGAGTCAGAAAAGTCACTGACAATATCTATAATTTAAGGTGACAACATTGCAGAGATTCAAAAATAGTGCCTAAGAAACTGACAAAGACCCACCCTGTAGCCTTGAGGTATGCAGCCTGAATACACTGGTTCAATTAAAAAGGATCTCAGTAATAACAAGCATCTAATCGTACCACCCACGGATGAATTCACACATTCATCACGACACCCGAGAGAAGCTGGAATATGTCCAGTTTCAACACCTTGATATGTAAAACAAGTCTCTTAACAAGTCAAATTTCAAATTCTGTCACTAGATGAATGAGTGCAATTCATTCCGTTTGTTCTTCCAAACATATCAACATATAGCAAAATGTGCAGCCAAGTAAGAAAGAAAACAATGTGTGTAACCAAAAACGCAGATGCCTACTCCTCAACCCCCACTCAAGGGGATAAGAGAAAATGCTCATGTTTTTCCTTCCCACCTGGGTCATATCATTGCATGACACCCTGAAATGCAGCCGCAGAATGGGGGGGGGGTCCCCCCTCGATTCCTGCGGCTTCTAAGGCGTCCTTCAAATAGAGGGACAATAATGTATTTCTTTATGTAATTTCTTAACACTTTTCTGTCCACCTTGTAGAGCACTGCAGTGCTGTAAGATATGCTGTGACATATTTTATTTACTGACAAATACACTAGGAATTGATTATTTGTCAATGTCAAATGGCTCAAATGGAAATGGGAAAAGGCTAGACATGTGTTAGAAAATTATCAATATTGGTACAGTACTGATACAAAAATAACCCAAATAACATTTTAACCATTGTTTTTCATTTTATTTTGATGGTCATGTAGCTTTTAGTATCTCTTTAAAAAAACACCTTTTCTATAAAAATTCAAGTTTAAACACACTGCAATATTATGTCTGTGAAGGTTCTCAGTCATCCAGTTATAGTTAACCATCATTGGCATCTTCACCTGAGGCCAAGAGGAAGATGCCACAATGGTCGTTCAGACTTGGCCATGGGTGGCTCAAACGACCATGACGACTGTCGTTACCACAGCCAGGAGCACTAACGAACCAGCGTATCGACGATCCTAGCTAACAATCCCAGAGGTTAAATAGCTGAGTTTCCCTACCAGTCAGTCAGAACTGAAGAAGTCTCTGGATGAGGGAAGAAACGTCTTCTACTATCTTCTACCAAGTCCAGTCGCCCTTGACCTCAACCTTCATTGAATATGCAATATTATGTATATTAACAATAAATCAAGTCATTATAGTTATGTGGAAGGGGTCATCTGTAGTGATGAATATACGAGACTTACCCAACTCTGAAGTTCCCTTCAGATCTACGGAGTATTTCAGCATCTTCCTGCTCATTGTTTTGGTTTTACTGTTTGCAGCTTTATTGTTTTGGTTCAGTCTCAGAGCTTTCCATCAATCTTGTTTTCAGCCTCAGCAGGCAGCTACATGTAGCAAAAAAGCTCCAGTACACCCGCTGTACACTACCAGCCCAGCACTAAACACTGTTAGCAACTAGCTAGATAACATAGCATGACATTTAGCTGCTAAATAGCTAGCTAGATCATTTCCTCAGTAGCGAGTGGAGACCAAAGGACTCTGGACTTCTGGACATTTGCCAGGTGGCTTAAACACAACTTATAGTTAAGGCTCTGTATCTGGTGAATGTGTAAAATGATCATGGGAAATGTGGTTGCTGATAATATGTCAATGTTGTGTTGTTCCCATGTCCCAAAGTGGTAAAAACAATCAATCACTGCTGCTTTAAAGTTAAAAATAACAAATATCTGAGCATCGACTAAGTAAACAAGCACAAGAAACTGCCAATGTTCTGGATTCAGACACATTTTGTTCAGAACTCTAAATCCATACATTT